GAAGAAGGACATCGCACTGGAGAGGTGAGACGCAGAGGGTGAGACACAGAGGGTGAGACACAGAGGGTGAGACGCAGAGGGTGAGACGCAGAGGGTGAGACGCAGAGGGTGAGACACAGAGACACGAGGGTGAGACACAGAGACACAAGGGTGAGACGAAGAGACACAAGGGTGAGACGCAGAGGGTGAGACGCAGAGGGTGAGACGCAGAGGGTGAGACACAGAGGGTGAGACACAGAGACACGAGGGTGAGACGCAGAGGGTGAGACACAGACACGAGGGTGAGACGCAGAGGGTGAGACACAGAGGGGTGAGACACAGAGGGGAGAGACACAGACACAGAGGGTGAGACACAGAGGGTGAGACACAGACACAGAGGGTGAGACGCAGAGGGTGAGACACAGAGGGTGAGACGCAGAGGGTGAGACACAGAGGGTGACACAGAGACACGAGGGTGAGACGCAGAGGGTGAGACACAGAGGGTGAGACAGAGGGTGAGACAGAGAGAGGGTGAGACGCAGAGGGTGAGACGCAGAGGGTGAGACACAGAGAGAGGGTGAGACAGAGGGTGAGACGCAGAGGGTGAGACGCAGAGGGTGAGACACAGAGACACGAGGGGAGCAGAGGTGAGACGCAGAGGGTGAGACACTGGGTTGGGTCATATCTATTTTTTTTTTTTTAATAAAGTTTTTATCCAGGTATTTGAGACACTTCATCAACTTGACTCTGTTATAAGTTTAATTGTTGAATTCCTCAGTCTTTGTGTGATTCAGACAAATGAATGATTTTCCAGAGTTTGTATTTATTTAGTTTATTTGTCGGGGACAGTGGGTCTGTGATTCCAGAGAAAATGTTCCAGGTTAAAACAAAAGTGTCGTTTTCCGTCTGTTGTTCCTCGACAAGTGACACAGAAACTGAACTCAGAGACACAGAGACACAGTGAAAGACCAGACTCAAAGTTCACACTCTGTTTTCCTTCTGTTCCATTAATGAATCTGTTTGTACCACAGTGTCGTCCAGCTGTGGCCCTGATGCCCTCACACACACACACACACTCACACTCACACTCACACACACACTCACGCTCCCGCTCTGTCTTTACATGGAAAATATTCACACTGTTACTTTATTTTATGATTTTATTTTATGAGTAAATTGAACAGAGACTCAGAGTAATAAACACGTTCATCTCACAACAGAAGAAGAGACGTTTACTCCAGATTGAACTAAAACTCATTTCCATTTGCAGTTTTGTTCTTTTATCATAATTTTAATCCACATTCTTACTCTTCTGATCATCTGTCATTTAATAAATACTTTGTACTTACATGAGCTAAGTTAAATTACAATGATCAGACGATGTGAAAGGACCAGAACATTCTAATCCAAGTGTGTGTTCGAGTTCTCCAGGGAAACGTTTGTCTGTTCCACTGATTCAACATCTTCATTCTAGCAGGTTTAAAATGGTCACTCCTTTTTATTAAATATATCTGTGTGTTTGTGTGTTGACCGTAGTGTTTTCTTCTCCTTTCCTCACCACGGTTGAGCGTGTGCAGGAGACATGTGGAGAGCAGCTTCAGCCTCAGACTGAGCGAGGTGGAGGAGCGTTTCGAGCTCGACCAGGAGGCCGCGGCCAACAGGTTTCAAGACGACGTTCTAAAACTGGAACAGGTCTACCAAACGGAGCTCCAAACGGTGAGCGAAAAACACGAGAGCGAGAAGAGTCGGTGGGAAGAAGAGATGAAGAACGCGGCGGACGAGTGGCTCAAGGAGCTGCAGGAAATCGAAAACGTGCACAAAGAAGAGATGGACGACGTGGAGCTGAAAAACAAACTGTTACAAAAAGAACTGGAGGATTTCGTTGTGAGCGGACAAACGAGAGAAACCGAACTGAGCCGACAGTTGAACGAGCTGCACCACAGGCTCCAGGAGAGTCTCGACACCCGGGACCAGCTCGTCTCTCAGGCCCAAAAACAACTGACCGAAACTGAAAAAATGCTTCGAGAAACTGTCCAGAACTTACAAGAAGAACGGAACGAACTCTGGGAAAATCTGTCCCAACTCGAGTCGAAGTACAACGACATTTGCAGCATTTCTGAAACGCAAATCGCAGAAAGAGCTGAACTGTCAACGCAAAGAGATGATCTGAAAATAAAAAACGAGGAGCTGGAACATTTGGTGAGGAACCTGCGAGGTGATTTTGAGGGCGAAAGGAAGAACATGCAAAGAATTATCAGAGAATTAGAAGAAAAAGGAGCAAAGTGGAGTCAAATCAAAGAGCTGGAGATGGAAGTCAGTCAGGTTTTAAATTTCGTACAAAACACTGAAATTATTGACAATACTGAGATCAAAAATGTGGAAAATGTAAATGATTCTTATGACATTTCTTCTGAATTTGGTACGACGATTACGAATTCAACCAAGTCTTCATCGAGTCTGGAAAGTGTTGATTTTCTGAGATGTTCTGCAGAAGAAAACGAAACTGGTTTAATCGGTAAAAACGCGTTTAGTTTGAGCAGATCTGAGTCTTGTGATTCTGGAGAAGACAAAATGGATGAGTCTGAAGATAAACTCTGTGAACCTGGACAAAGACGGACTGAAGAACGTCTGAACTGTGAAGTGGAGATGATGAATGTTCTTGACCCACGTTTGACTTCTGACCAGAAACCTCAGTGTGGTGAAACGACGTTCGAAAACAGAGCAGACGCTGTTTGTTTTCAAAACGACAACGGATTCTCACGATTGGAAAGGTCAGAGGACGCAAATGTGACTAAAGCTCAGAACAGTGAAAGGTTTTGTGAACTAAAACCACAAACTGTACCAGATTCTGAGTTTGAGGAAAGTTCTCAGGGAGATTTGTCGCTTTACGAAACGGCGGTGGACTCACACGGCTTGGAAAATGTGACAAACAATTGTATTTTCTTTATGCCAGAAATAAGTTTTAAGAGTTTTGACCACAGTGAAAACCAAGACGTGATCAAACTCAAAGCTTTGTCCAAAACCTCCACAGAGGAACACGTGTTACTGCAGGAAAAAGTCTCGTTACTGCAGCAAAAGATTGAAATTCTGGAGGTTTTACTGGCTCACAAAAACGAAAAACTCAAAACGGGACACGAGGTTCTGGAGGAAAACTACAGCCTCAAAGTGAAGCTGCTGTTTTTGGTGGAGCAGGTGAAAGAGCTGGAGAGGGAAGTTTACAGAATGGCCGAGTTGCAGATCCGTTTTGAAGACTGCGCGTGCGAAAACGACAAACTGAAAGAGCAAAACGAAGAGCTCGAAAACCGCGTGTGGATTCTGGAGAGCAGCATGAACATCTACGGGTTTGAAGACGGGAAATTCACTTTGACGGACGAGATAAACCGGATGAGAGAAGAGAACCGGAGACTGACCGAGCTCCTCAAAGAACTGAACTCACCTCGTGGAAATCTTCAGACCCACAGCAGAACATCTCCAAACCCCAGTCACCAACTCCAGTTTGACCAGGTTCACATCCAGGAGTTTGAAGATTGTTGCGCCGATTTTGAAAAGGAAAACGCCAAATTACAAAGAACCAAAACAGAAAAACGAGACCAGATCCAGTCCAAGACCACAAACGTTCTGAGGTAACAGTTGTGGAAAAGTCCCATCGAGATCCAAACCCTAGACTCAGACCTGCTCTTCTCCTCCTCCTCCTCCTCCTCCTCCTCCTCCAGTAGAGCTCCACAAACCGCCGGGTTTAAGATGCTCCTGAGTGAAGTCGCTCACGTCAAACGCACAAACACAAAACTACACACACACTTGTGTCAGTCGTTTGTGCTGCGAAAAGTTTTGGAGACATGAATGATTCTTTTAAAGATCAAACTGGAGTCAGCAGCTCCAGGAAACTTCAGAATGAAACAAAACGACACAACATGGAGTCAAACGTTTGTGCTTCGTTTGTGTGACTGTTTTCATTTGTGTGAGTTTATTTCATTATTATTCTAAATGATTTGATATCATTTCTGTTCATCTGACGACAGCGACTTTAACAAAACTCCACAAAAGAGAAACGAGCCGAGTCTGTGGAAAAGTCTGAGTTATTTGATCAAATATTAATCAAAGCCAAGACGGATCCAGACTTTTCCACAGACTCGGCTCGTTTCTCTTCACGAGTTTTGTTAAAGTCGCTGTCGTCAACTGAACGAAAATGAACAAAATATAATTTACACAAAAATAATCATGAATCATTTGATAAATAAACTCACACAAATGAAACAGACACAAAACAACACAAACCAGATACAAACATTTGGTTTCATTTTCTGTTTTGAGGCTGTTTCAAATTTTGACTCATCGACCCAAAATAAAACTAGGGCCGGGTATCGTTAAGAAGTTGCCGATACGATACACACCTCGATACAGTGAACTTACGATTTGATACGATATATTTCAAATTGATTCGATACCGTTCAATAAAAATAAAGGTTAAATCATGTCTGTGACACTAAAAGTGTTTGTTAAATCACTTCTTCTTGTGCAAAGTTCATATGAAACAAAAACATTTTAATCCTCAAAACTGTGAAAATGTCAAATGTGTCGCATGAGCTGCAAAAAAAATTAAATCTAGCCAAGTTAAGATGACCTTGAATTAAGAAAGTTTCATCATGATTTGAGGAAATTCCACTTGACAAGTTAAATGATCTGTCAGTGGAACATGATTTTTTGTTCTTAAAATATACGAAAATACAACTTGCTGCACTTAAAAAAAGAAAAACAACAACCCTTAAAATAAGAAATGAAATCAAATGTCGCTTGAATTTAGAAAAACACTTCTTCCACTGGTGAAGTCGACTCAGATAAAGTCAAATGTTCATTTTCATTTTAACGAACCTTTTTGCCGCATGAACGAGTTTCCTTCCACTAAACAAACAACAAAACTGGAGCTGGAGCAAAATAATTTAGTAAAATACACCAAAAATACTCAATACGCGATGTATCGGTACAGCAGCCCACGATATCGATACTGTATCATTACATTAAACAATACGATACATCGATATTTCAATATTTTTGCACAGCCCTAAATAAAACTGAGAAAATCTGAAGAACCAGAATCACAAACTGAAGGTTTTGCGGCACAAACGATGGTCAGAGTTTGTGTGTAGTTGTGTGTTTGATGGAGACGTCTTCACGCAGGTTTAAGACTCGGGTTAGTTTAGTTTATTTGGTTTGGAGTTGGTGATGTTAGTTGTGGTCGGTGTTTGTGAAAGACAAAGTGTGTAAAACTTTGGCTTTTGTCCCGTTTGTTTTCACTCTTTAGACATTTTAGGTTAGAGCTTGTGGGATCCTGACCTTTTCTAGTGCTTTTTTAGTTCCTGTTTTTGTGCTTTTGAAAGTCTGAGTAAATAATGTTGTTTACTGAAATGATTTTATTTGTTTGTAGATCTGAAGCTTCTCGTCTCTCAGAGGAAAACCTCGTTCTGAAGAAGAAGATCGATGCTTTGAAGGAGGAAGAGCTGAAGGAGATGATGTGAGAATCAGACTTTATATAAACTGTTTAATCATATTTCCTCCTGAGCACAGACGACGGACGAGTCGAGACGAGAAACAAACCGACTCAAAATCCGACTTTTAACACAAAGATGATGTGACTTTCAGAGCAGCTCCAGATCTTAACCAGGTCTAGAATAAAAACTAAAACTAAAACTAAAACTAGGGATTAATAAGGTCTAAGGAGTTCTGACCAACAAATGAGTAGAGGACAAAAAGTGGAAACAGTTGAAAAAAAAAAAGATCAGTGCAGTGTAGAGCCCAGAGCCCAGTGGACCAGCAGCAGGAGAACACGCACCACAGTTTGAGAAACTCTGTCCTAAATTAAACTCATCATTTTGTTCTTTTTAGGAAAACTCTGGAGACGCTGAAAAAAGAGAAGGAAGCGTCTCAGAGGGCAGCAGACGACTTCAAGAAACAGGTTTGGAAGCACAGTTACAAAATATAAAATATTCTGCACATGACTGAGGAACATCTGAACACCTGAACATCTGAACATCTGAACATCTAAACATCTGAACACCTGAACATCTGAACATCTGAACACCTGAACATCTGAACACCTGAACATCTGAACACCTGAACACCTGAACACATGAACATCTGAACATCTAAACATCTAAACATCTGAACACCTGAACATCTGAACACCTGAACACCTCAACACCTCAACACCTCAACATCTGAACATCTGAACACCTGAACACATGAACATCTGAACATCTAAACACCTGAACACCTGAACACCTGAACATCTGAACACCTGAACATCTGAACACCTGAACATCTGAACACCTGAACATCTGAACATCTGAACACCTGAACATGAACATGAACACTGAACATCTGAAACTGAACATCTGAACATCTGAACACCTGAACATCTGAACACCTGAACACATCTGAACACCTGAACATCTGAACACCTGAACATCTGAACACCTGAACATCTGAAACATCTGAACATCTGAAACACCTGAACACCTGAACACTGAACATCTGAACACCTGAACATCTGAACACCTGAACATCTGAACACCTGAACACCTGAACATCTGAACATCTGAACATCTGAACATCTGAACACCTGAACACCTGAACACCTGAACATCTGAACACCTGAACACCTGAACACCTGAACATCTGAACACCTGAACACCTGAACACCTGAACACCTGAACATCTGAACACCTGAACATCTGAACATCTGAACACCTGAACAAACATCTGAACACCTGAACATCTGAACACCTGAACACCTGAACACCTGAACATCTGAACACCTGAACATCTGAACACCTGAACACCTCAACATCTGAACACCTGAACATCTGAACACCTGAACACCTCAACACCTCAACATCTGAACATCTGAACATCTAAACATCTGAACATCTGAACACCTGAACATCTGAACATCTGAACATCTGAACATCTGAACATCTGAACACCTGAACACCTCAACATCTGAACATCTGAACACCTCAACATCTGAACATCTCAACATCTAAACATCTAAACATCTGAACACCTGAACATCTAAACATCTGAACACCTGAACATCTGAACATCTGAACATCTGAACATCTAAACATCTAAACATCTGAACACCTAAACATCTGACTCACCACGTTTACATGAGAGGTTTAATTCTGAATCAAAATAATTCCTCTTTAGTCCATGTAAACACTGAATTCTTAATGAAAATGTTGATTGTGATTGAATATTTACAGTGAAGAGTTTGTTTCTTCTGATGTTAAATGTGACTGAGTTTGTTTCCTGGATCCTGTTTGTGGTTTGTTGTGGTTCAAATGCTGCTGGTGCTTCATGTTCGTCGTGTCGTCCTCCTGACGCGTTGATCCGGACGATCCGGCTCCATCAGTCCCGTCTCAATTCAGATTTATTATTTCCATGTAAACTCCAAGGAGAAGATTTGAATTCAGAATAAAAACCCTCATGTAAACGTGGGGAGTGTGGAACATCTGATCATCCGACGATGATGTTTGGACCAGAGCGACGTCTTGGACTTGTGTCGTTTTTAAATCATATTCACACACTTTATATTTAATAAGATTTAGATTTACAGAAGTGTTTGTGTTTAGATTTCAGAGCTTCAGTCTCACAGTTTGCTCCTTGAAAATAAAAACGGGATCCTGTGTGAGAAAAACTCTCAGCACCTGTGGGACGTGGAGACGCTCAGACGGCAGGTGGCAGCGCTCGGCGAGTCCAGAGACACGACGACGACGACGGAGAGAACGAACGAGAAAACCAACGACAGGATGAACGAGACGACGCCCGACGACAAGACGCAGGTGAATATCCAACTTCAACACAATCTGAAGGTCTGAAGGTCTGAAGGTCTGAAGGTCTGAAGGTCTGAAGGTTCCTCTGGGGTTTCTGTCATAATAGAAGATTTACCAAAATACAAAAATGAACATAAAAACAAAACACAAAAACATAAAACAAAACAACAAAACTACAACAACAAACTGCCCCAAACACAAACACATTTAATTGAATAAAAGTACAGTTCTGTGTTTGTGCAGCAGCTGTTGTTGTTGTTCAGTTTATTTAATAAACACTTTTAGTTTCTTTACTTTTTACTACAGTCTTAAAGCAGATTTTTAAAAGCATTTTCTATTTTTTCCTCTTCTCACCCCTTTTTTACTCATTATTATTAAAATAATAATAAAATAAAATATAGTTATTTATTAATTTTTTTACTCTAAAACATGACTTTAAGGATTATCTGGATTTTCATTCTTAACTCTGTTTTCAGTCACTTCTTTAAATCTTGTGTTTAAATCATGTAAATGTGACACGTGTTTTAATTCTTGGTGTCAGATTTAACATTCACTTGTTTTGTGTGTGTGTTGTGTGTGTGTCTGTGTGTGTTGTATGTGTGTGTGTGTTGCGTGTATGTGTGTGTGTGTCAGTTGTCGTTGTGTGTGTCGGCGTTGGAGGAGGAGTTGAACAAAGCTCTGAACGAGACGACGACGCTCAAACAGAGAAACACACTGATGTGTCTGGAAACAAACACACTCAGAGAGAACACACACACACACAGACACAGGTGAACACACACACACACACACACACACACACACACACACACACACACACACACACACACACACACACTGACCTTGTTCTGTCCAAACACACAAACATTTCCTCAAACTTTTTAAACGACGTTTCTGACGCTGTGTCTAAACCAGTGCTTCTCAAATAGTGAGGCTCCGTCAAGGGCGGCGCGTTTGACCTCGGGGAACATGCTTTTTTATTTTTTTATTTTTTTTACTGTCCTAGAATAAAGTGCAGTTGCACTTCCACTACATTAGGGGGCAGTGGCGCTCTCATTGGCAGAGTGTGCGCAGGGAGCATTCGCTCGGTGGTGTAGGAGTTTTGTTTGCACTGAGCATGCGCGCTTTGCACACAGCACAGAGTTTGAGTATGAAGTGTAGACACGAAGTGTAGCAGACCCTCAAGTGACACCATGAAAACATATTTAACAGGGATGAGAAGACAGACGGAGAGAGACGGAGATAAAGAGACAAACGAAAATCTCCCGAAAGCTAAGACGAGGAAATATGACGAAGCGTATGTAGCGCTTGGCTTCACTGTGACTACGGTGGGAGACGAGGAAAGACCGGTGTGTTACTGTGTCTAAAAATGTTGGCAGCCGACAGCATGAAGCCCAATAAATGAAGGCGTCACTTAAATACATTACACCCCGATCACTCTGATAAACCGCGGGAGTTTTTTCAGCGAAAACGTGGCGAATATTGACGACAATCATCCCGCTTGTAACTGCTGCTTCAGTAAACCAGCGAGCGTTGTTGGCGTCATATAAGGTGGCAGTGTTACGCAGAGGTGCATTTATAACTAGTTTATAGACAAATGATACTATCTATAGTCACGCGGGGGGGGGCATGACAGAAAATAATTGATTAGCACTGGTCTAAACCAACGTGAAAACAGCTCCAGACTTTCCCTCCTCTGAACCAACATAAAACTGAGCTGTGACAGATAATACTCCCTACAACTGTACAACTCACCCTTATGTGACAGATAATACTCCCTACAACTGTACAACTCACCCTTATGTGACAGATAATACTCCCTACAACTGTACAACTCACCCTTATGTGACAGATAATACTCCCTACAACTGTACAACTCACCCTTATGTCACAGATAATACTCCCTACAACTGTACAACTCACCCTTATGTGACAGATAATACTCCCTACAACTGTACAACTCACCCTTATGTGACAGATAATACTCCCTACAACTGTACAACTCACCCTTATGTCACAGATAATACTCCCTACAACTGTACAACCATTTCCCGCCTCTGGATCAAAGTAAAACTGACTCTGCAGTGACACATTTGAAACATGAAAATTCTGACTGTCGAGTTTTGTGTCGATGAATCTGCTCAGATTTTATGGGTCATCGTTGTGTTATAAAGAATTTTAAACATAAA